AGAGATACTTCTGATTGTGCTTTCCTAGATGTTTTGAAATGGATTTGAAAAAGTGTGCAGCCCAGTTTACCTTAGTTTTGGTAATGAGAGAGTTGATGATGAAGGCTCTCTCCTGGGTGATGTCATCGGCATGACCTCCACTTCCACATTCGAGGCAGGCGATGACCAGTTCCAAAACCAACTTGTAATCGTTGTTTAGATCTGTTTTCTTCGCTGGACTTGAAGGAATTTGCCCAGAGATTCCAATGATGTTCCAGTCCAGATTTTGGGCTGGAAATTTCCCGATTTCAACTCCAGAATTGGGAAGGCGAAGCTTTTCTCCTAATTTCTTCTGCGAAAGCTTCACTTTCGTACCTCCAACAGTGGACTTGATGACTGGAAACGTCCTCTGTGGGTCCTTCTTTGAATGAGCAGTCTTGACCTCTCCATTTCTGTAGAATTCCTCGAATTTGAGGCGAATCTCCATTTGAAGAAATTCGAAGAGTTCTTGAGCGGCTATCATTTCCAGATAGCTTTGAAAGAATGTTGATGACGAGCACTTGGCTTCTAACTTCTGGAAATGAATATTTGCTCCGACAACCTTCATTTTCTCAGAATTTTGAGTGAGAATCTGAAAAATCTGAAGAAATTTTAGGGTTCTTGAGAGAATTCTGAAGAAGACGACGAAAAATTTTGAATGGGCGGTTTAGATCTGAATAGTGACGATTGGGTTTTATTTGAGCGATTTATGTGGCTAAAGGCGATTGGGTTTTTGACTATTCCCAAGGCCACGTGCCTATCCACTATATTGACAGACGTGGAAAGTGGACTGCCACGTGTACCGCACTCAGTCTAATTGAATTAGACCAATTTTGTGAAGCAAATCGGAAAACTTGGCTTCACTTAGTGGTTTTGTGAAGATATCCGCCAATTGTTCTTCAGTTGAGATATACTCGATTTTGATATCTTTCTTTTGCACATGATCTCTGATGAAGTGATGTTTGACATCAATGTGCTTAGTGCGAGAATGATGCACTGGGTTTTGAGAGATGGCTATAGCACTTTGATTGTCACAAAAGATTGTCACTTCCTTTGTTTTGACTCCATAGTCTAGTAATTGTTGCTTTAGCCACAAAATCTGAGCACAACAACTACCAGCAGCAATGTACTCTACTTCTGCTATTGATGTAGAAATGGAGTTTTGTTTCTTACTCAACCAAGAAACAAGATTTCCACCAATGAATTGACAAGTACCAGATGTACTTTTCCGGTCAACTTTGCATCCGGCAAAGTCAGAATCTGAGTATCCCACTAACTCAAATGAATTGCTTATAGCATACCACAAACCCATGTTCTGAGTTCCTTTGAGATATCTAAGAATTCTCTTAGCTGCTATCAGATGACTTTCCTTTGGCTTTGACTGGAATCTGGCACAAACACCTACTGCATATGAGATATCCGGACGGCTTGCAGTAAGGTAAAGTAGAGATCCGACAATTCCTCTGTAGAGAGTTTGATCTACATCCTTTCCATCTACATCCATATCAAGCTTGGTGGATGTACTCATGGGGACAGAAACGGATGACTTCTGATC